TTCCTGCCACTCATTCCTCTCTGTGGGCTTTGAGAACACCGCGCAACTCTTATCCAACGACCGTCAATGGTGTATCATTGGTCCCTTGTTTTTCACCGAATCGAGTGGGGCGGCAGCGTTGGCGTTGGCGCTGTTGCAACTGGGCTAGCGCGTTTAGGCGGTCGGGTAAGCCACAGATCAGGAGCCCGAATTGCTTTCATGTCCTTGAAGACGACGAGATAGTCGAAGCGTCGACCAAATAAAGCGGTTTCTACCTTAACAAGCCTGTACGGCAGAACACTGCAAAACATTATGCAGCATGCCCAGGTTTCAAGAAGACCGTACGTGGAATAAGTGAAAGCATTCCTTTCGTTCAATATGATACGTATAAATCAATTGATCGGGTCGTAGCAACTAGGTAAGCAATTATGTGGACCATTTGCTGAGAGATTACTGAGTTTGCATGAGATTCTACAATAACTTATCCATTCATTTTCACTTTCACTGCCTGGTACTGATAACGTCTCATAAACTAACCATTTCGTCGGATTCGACCAATTGCCTTCCAAAACCGCCCTCCAAATCGCCTACTACACGCTTGCTCATTTCGACTCCCAAATCTATATTATGCATGAAAACAAGAACTACCTGTGGTAGAAAACTCACGATTACCCAATTTACACCTATTTTCAAACTGTTAGCGCGTGTTTATGGATCGGCCTGAGACTGCAATTAATGAAGACGATGATCATGAAAACGGTTTGGTACCTGGAGCTCCTTCCACGCTAAACCGAACGAAAATCTCCGGAAGCTCTAGCAATGTGTATTTAGATTGAGGCATCAGCATGATGAACGTTCTAGCTTCGGAGTTGAGCAGAAGAAAACGTTCCTCATTGAGAGCATTCGTAGTAATATGGAGCAGGTAGTGAAGATGACAAAGAGTCAAAGATGACAAAGATCCAGCTCCGCGCTCAACTTTTTGAAACTGCGGTCCTCCCTGCGTTGATGTACCCCTAATAAGTTTGAACTACACGAAACCAGGACAATCATGCATCATCATAATACCATCCAATGCGTTTTGGAAAGGACTGTGACCTTGATGCCCCTATTCATACAGGAGGAAATCCAAGAGTTCTGAGCTCCGTCAACGTCAAGTTCAGGGATGCTTACGCAAAGAAGTCGAAGGTCGCGCATTTGAAGTTCAAACAACGAGGGCTGTCGACTTCTCAAAATCCTTGAATTCTTGGCGCATGGATGATAAGATTACTGTAGAACGCTGGCTTCATTGCTAACCATAGATGCAGGATTTTTATGATAGTTGGAAACAGGCTGACAGGGAATCGAGTAAAATTAGAAAAGAAAATTTGGAAGCGAAATTCTTCTAAAAGCTCAAGGCTCTTCGGGGCATACACGAAACACATGACAAATACAATACACGTGCACACAAAACACGTGCCCGTACACCCCCGCACGCTCACACATGCATCCCACATACACGCTTTTACACATCCATACACCCGTTCTCAAATGCACAAACGCATACATATTTTTAAACTTTTTCACACCTACTTACACTCAAACAGTACTTACACATACACACGTATACACAACCCATAGACGCATAGTCACATCCGTACAGATGCACACATTCACAAGCTACTCCCGAAAGGTGATGGGAAATCGCATTGCTTTCGTTCAAAGAAAAACACGCTATTCGTGTACGATGCAGTAAGAAATTTCCCTGCCCCTTCCCCTCCCGACCCCCCCCCTTCCGGGTATTTCTGTGGTTAAGTTTTTGTTTATGTGCTACTGCGATCCCACCCCTCCCTTTCCTTGAGAGAGGGTGTACTCTAAGATTGTTTGAAGAGAGAAGATCACTGACTGTTTGCCTATGTTAATATCAGATATCATATTGTGGAATTGTGGAATTCATGAAATTCTGGAAGAGAGAGATTAGAAGTTTATTATTCGGAGCTGAACTAGTCGGAATGTAACCAACAGTGTCGGTGTAATTGATCTGTTTCAAGAATTTTGATGGGATGCATAATATCACCCTATATGTATCTAGACCAAAACCTCAGTGAACTACAGAACTCTTAAGCAGTACTCAGTGTTCCACTCAATTAGGTCCAGAATCATTTTACAGAGAGCTTACAGTTCAATGCAATTGGTAGCCCCTGAACATCGCTTAGAGCGGTGCAGCACCACCACGCATACCTTCTCGGCATCAATCATCGGAAATAAACCCTATTTCTCCCAGAGTTTCACATTTGGTGCCATGATGGAAGGAGCAAAGCCCTGAGTTATTGAAGCAAACCCCCCGTAAACCTCTGCATTGAACAATTCTACATTCGAGCCCCACTTCGTTTCTGAATGAAACTTAAACGAGTGATTATTTCATCGCAAATAAGACAACCGTTCATGTTTTTATTGGAGTAATTGTAATGAGCAAGTGATGATGTAAAGTGTGATGGCTGTTTCATAATCCATTTATTCTTTAGCCGGCCGCCTCGTTCCGCCTTCCCAAAAGCACAGTTCAGAAGAAGATGGCTTTTGAGATATCACCCTGGGATAAATCTACACTACCCTTAGCCTATACCACTGTTTTCCAACGTGAGAAGAGTACCTCAAAATTATCATGACTTGTGTCTTCAAGAAGAGCCAAAATGCAGACGCGACATATCTTGTCTAAGAACGGAATATACATCAATCGTGATAACTCCATTATGATACGCTGTACATATGATAGGTACAGTACTGTGCATTCTACATCGTGAACTCGTTAGGTTTTATGAACTGAGTTGTTCTTTCATTTTATGGCCCATCATCAGCCTTTATGAATGGTTATCACTTTTCGTCGTCCGCTATGTGAATCCGGTCGCACCATGCTCCAATCATAGATCTTTTAAGACTTAATAGTAAAAGCTCATATTCACGCAGTCGTTTCAAATTCGACAAGAAGCTCTGAAGAAGAGGAGCTCGGCACAAGCAGAACATTATGACTGTTCTTCAGTATGTAGGGACGCTAACTCAACGATTACGGAGTCTCAATGAGTTGTTCTTGATTTTGATGATAGCCACCCATAGTTGATTTAATCCTTCACCTTATTTTGAACTTTCAGCGACATTTTTCATTATTGACCAATCTTATAGCCAGAATAAGCTTGAATGGTACTCAATACTGTTGACAACTAATAATAATACCATCATGAAAAGCCACTACCCAGAATTTCCTGAATTTCTCGGATATAATCTCGTACGAAATATTGATCAAGATTCCCAGTCCATTTGGGGTACGGTAAGTTTTGTAGCTCCTGATAACAGACTAAAAGAGTAATGATCTCCTCAACGAGTCGCAAGTCTAAATGCAAGCCAGTGAGTCCCCATATATTGGGTTGTAACATAAGTTCGTAGAGTTTTGCGTTAGAGTTATTTTACAACGATTTTTATTGTTTTTTAGCAAAGTGTATACATTCATTCGAAAGAGCTCTTTCTCCTCTACAAGACTGTTTTATTTGTTTTTGGGATAATTTAATTGTTCGTATTTTTTTGGACTCAGAAATGAATATCTAGGAAGAAAAAATTAGCATTTTCGACATCTGCTTTTCTTTGCTTTTCGTCGAGGTCAAAAAAACAGCCGAAACCGCTCGGGACATATGCAGTGTGTACGGGGAAGGTGTCTTAGGTGTGTCTACTGAGAGGTGTGGGTGGCCCCAAGAAAGGCGCCAAAGCCGAGAGTCAAGCAAGATCTTCACCCAAAAAAGGTCATGATCTGCGTTTGGTGGGACTGGGTAGGCATGGTGCACTGGGAAACTGCTCGAACGAAACGCCACTGTCAACAAGGAGGTCTACATTGCCTAGCTGAACAGTGTAAATGAGGCTATTTGGCTGGAAAACCTTATAGATGAGGTCAGGTCATCTTGCTCCACGACAACACCAGGCCCCATATTGCTCAAGTCGACAAAACAGCACTCCAAGAGCTTGAATGGGAGGTTCTTCAGCATCCACCGTACTCTCCGGATCTTGTACCTACCTACCATCACCTTTTCCGCTCCCGGCCAAACCAAATGAGGGGAGTTACCTTTGATGGCGAAAGGGATATTAAAAACTGGCTCAACAAATTCTTCGACACCACAACGGCCGATTTTTGGCGAATCGCCATCAACAAATTAGCCGAGAGATGGGAGGAGGTGTGAACAGTAACGGAGGATACATCATTGGTTAACTTATTATTAAAATTATTGTTTTTTGGTTCAAGTAAATCTTTGTGAAAAAACTCTACGAACTTATGTTACAACCCAATAATATCGAAGGGAGCAAGCAAAATTTCTTTCTTTTATGGTACTGGCTTTCATATGCCCTTATCACTTTTATTATTATCTTTTATGGAGCCGCTTTACCATCTCCTCTTACCATATAAGACATAAAGGTTTGTGAATTCTACATCGTGAGTGTGTAAGATTCTACGAACTAAGTTGTTCTTGCATTCTATGGCTCTTATCGGCCTTTATGAATTGTTATCACTTTTTGCCATCGGTCATCTGCAATTCGGAATTCACCCACCACGAGTGTTTCATAGTGCCGCCCCTATCCCTTTCAGGTTTGGACGCTCTAGCGCTGGCATTCACATACGCACACATAGAATTATACGACAGGATAGTTCTATCTACTGGAACTTTAGGTTTTGAGAGTGATATTCTGCTTTTGCTTAGCGTACGAAGTTGCAGGAAAAGTCTGAGGTTTCGAAGGAGTGCGTCCTTTCCTCATACATCACCCTGCAACAACATGTCCTGTGCGCATGGAACAAGATTACATTTGTTTTAGTTTGTTGCTACTTTCAAAACCCCTTCGAGCAATATATAACGAACGTTGGGAAGAGTACGTTCATCTCCTCCTACTTAAGGCTTACAGAGAGATCTCAGGCGACGGAATTCCTTGATGAGGCGACTGCTGTCGACTAAAATGGAAATCCGCAACCGCACCTAGCCGTAATGTGAACTGTAGGAAGTTAGCCTGGCGCATCCCAAAGACATGATTGCGCATAAGTGATTGCACCGTGTTGCAATCTTTTTCAGTTTTGCTCGTCATACAAAAATTGTTGTTCAAACCACATTCTCATCTAGTACTGAATACTTTTCATGTAAATTGTTGCGAATGTACTTTATTCAAATTATTTCCAGGTGTTAAGTCAAGCAATCTCCATAAACGACTTGATGCCAGCGCGATACTCGTTACAGTACCTCCAGAAGAATATGAGAGCGTTGAGAGACAAATTCGAAGTTGAATGTTCATCAAGGTTTTACAAGCACTTCGACAATGATCTCGGTAAAAAATTTCTTCACTTTGAAATGATCTATGACCTAAATTCTTGAGCTACATGTCATATAAAGATGTTTGACTGCGTAAGTGCCTGCTGTTACAAGTGAGAGTATTGGTGTAAGCATATGTTGAACTGCTCAGCATTGCTTGATTCGGTTTTTCACCTCCCAAGCTGACCCTGTTTCATTTTTTGTTTCTCTCAAGTATTCGTAGATAAGATTAGGGGTGTATGTTCAGTTTTTATCTATGATCGGAGCGACATCAGAGTAGCTGGGCTGAATTGAACGCTGCGCACTTACGCGAAAGTTTGTCCA